CTTATCAAGCACTAGGAGGACATAAAGCAAGTCACAAGAAGATCAAAACTCATCTTATAAAGGGATCACTTGAAGATGATGTTACTCTTTTAAATCCAAGAGTTTTTAAGTGTACAGTTTGTGATAAAGTGTTTGAGTCTGGTCAAGCGCTCGGAGGACACAAGAAAGTTCACTTCACTTACTTAACAAAATCTGGTGAAAAGCTTTTAGATCTTAATTTACCAGCGCCAGAAGATGATAGTGAAGTAAGTCAAGTTTAGCTGATGAAGAATTAAGTGTTGATTCAAACAAATTATAGGGCTTATAATTTTGTATGTATACTTGGTTCTTGTAGCAAATTTGATACACAGTTTAGTATTTTATTATTATTATTATTTTGAATCAATGGCTGCATGAGCTTAATGAATCTGGTAAATTGGTAATATCCATTGTATGTACAAAAGGTTTAGGTCTCTTTAATTAGTTGGTCAAAAAGGGGCTCTTCAGTTCTGTAAAAAAATTAAATAGTTGCACCTATAAATGGAGATAACAGGAATTATATATGCCCATTTAATTACATTTTAATATTGCCATTAATCTCAATAAAGATGATGAGTTTTCTTTGTTGCATATAGGAGTTTCAGGGAAATAAGTTACATTGAAGGCACCCTCTTTTGGCATATGTACAGCTCTTAACTGATTATCCTTGTTTTTCTCTCTCTTTTTATGAAATTATAAAGAGAATAAATACATTAAAAACAGTTTCTGTTTGGATAAATACAAGATTAGCTCTTATCTGTCATCACTGCCTATATATGGTTTGTATAGTTGGTGAAGAAGTCAATAAGCCATATATATATAAATATATATTCCTTTCAAATTATTTATAACTTTTCCAATTTAGATTGCTTCTTCGTTTGGTTTCTCTAAAACTGTAAAGTGAAGTCTGACCAATGGAGCAAAACTATCCGTAAATTAATTAAGACGTTTAAAAAAAATTATACCTAGCTAATTTAGAGTTGTTCAGTAAGAGGAGAAATTGATGCTAGAACTCCAAGGGATTGGCCTGGTGGTAAAGATGTTTACTCCATTCTTTGAGTTCTTGGGTTTAAAGGACATCTACTACAATAACATTGTGACTTACATGATCCTTTGGGTTTGTAGAGTGTTTAATAGATCTTAGATATTAGTTGACGTGCGCGCAAACTGGTCTGGATATCTTGGTTACCCAAAAAAAAAAAAAAAAAGATGTTGGGTTTCAGTGATATTAATTATCAAGTTCTATGCACCAAAAAAAGAATTTTACAATGCTGTGAACCGATGAGATTAATATGTTTATTTACGTGTGTTCATTAGGTAGGATTAATTAATTGAGATTGTGGTTCAAGATTTAACTACATCATCTTAGGCGCAAATCTAGTAGAAATTTTTGCAATCTTGTAGCCTCTTATGTTTATGCCTAATTTACTATTTTGTTTTACTCGAAAAAATGGTTCGAAGATGATAGATCGGTAGGAAGATGAAAATTTGGCCTCTTATGTTGTGGATGAGTGTGGCTTAATCCTCGGTGCTCTCCTCGATCTCTTATGAACCATGCTAGATGCCAAATTTGAGTCAGAGTTAGGGCCGGCCTCAAATTAATATCATATTATTATTTGGGTTACTCTATCCGTCACCTCCCATTGTTTGCGTTCTTTGTGACACCCCATAAGTTTAAAATAATATGCCTTACCTCCCCTTAGATTTAAAAAATTCTCCCAAACCTCTCCTCTCTCCATAGTTTGGCAGCAGAATCAGTTAGGTGTATTGTATTTTTCTTAAAAGAAAATTGTTTAAGCCCCCTTACATATATCTAGATTATAAAGTCCCCTTATATATTTGAAATTTCTTCAATCCCTGCAATAAAATCAAGTTGTTCTCAACTCCAAAACCAATTGCATACCTTATTTAATTCTACTTGCACTAAAATGAAAAATAAATAAATACAATTACACTCTAAGGGGATATTTAAAATATTTATATACTTGGGGAGCTCACAAGACTTTTTCCTTAACATGTTTTTTCAACAAATGGTGGATAGGGAAGCAAGGTTTTAAAACTAGGCCCGAGGTGAAACCTGGCAAAGTGGTTGGGTCTCGGGTTTTTCGGTTGAACCGTTTTGACCGGCGGGTCAAACCAATGACGTCAACATGTAAAAAAGTTTAAAATCTAACAAAAATACCCCTAAAAATTCCCATAAGTCCCTATATGTTTGAAATATTTAAAAAACACCCCTAATTACATTGTTGGCGTCGAAAATCCAGGCCAAATAGAGCCTGCTTTCGATATCAACAACACACCCCATCACCACAAAAACTCTCCCCTCAACCTTCTGCCCATCTCATCCCACCCTCGTTCGCCTTGCCAATCACCGACAACAACTCGGATTATTTTTGCAATTTCCAATTGTTTCACTCTTCGGAAATATCTCTATCTCCACATCTCCACTCACCGACCCTTGATCTTCAAAAGTCTCAACATCACAGCCTTTAATTGTGCATCGATCATTGTCTTAATTTCTAGGATTTTTGATGAATAGTAAAAATGGATAACCCGCCCCAATGAAGGTCCTAGTGTGATAAAAGTTATTGTTATGGTATTTCAAAATACCAAATTTTAATTGCTTTTGGACTGTTATGTGTTAAAAGCAATTGAAATTTGAATTGCTTTTGGACTATTATGTGTTAAAAGCAATTAAATATTGCCTTTTGGACTGTTATGTATTAAAAACAATTGAATTGTTCCAAGTTATTGCAATTCAAATCATTCTTGGGCAGTTATGGTTTTAAAATCAATTGATTGACTTCTATTACAGCAAGAATGAGTTAAGGGAAAACGGACAGATTTTCAAGTATAAAAAATGGTGGTTTTCTCATTTAAAGAACACAATTTTTCACTTGAAAAATCCTTGTTTCCTCTGTGTTTTTTAACTTTCTAGCTCTCCTTCACCACTGTTACTTTTCCTTATATTGTTCTAAATCTCTATTAAAGTGTGCACTCTAAAAGGAGATTCGTCATTGTATCTTGGAGGTCAATCCGCTGTTGAGCCTTTTTGCACCACGAAGATTCTTTCAATAGGGGCGGAATTCTGATCTTAAGGAGTGTGCTTTTGCACGCCTTGACGATACTATCTTGCTGCTATGTTCGTTGTTGTTTCACTGCTGTTTTGTTGTTGTCTCCCTGCTATTCTTATTGCTATTTTCCTGCTATTTTTCTACTGTTTCACTGCTGTTCTTTTACTATTTTGCTGCTGCTTTTCCTACGATTTCTCTTACTAGTTTTCTACTGTTTTATTGCTGTTCTTTTGCTGTTTCGTTACTGTTCTTTCATTGGTTTGCTGTTGTTGTTTTGCTACCAATTTTATTATTAAATTCCAACAATCTTAAGATCAGAAATTTTCCAAGATGGACGCTGCAATTCTCACTGCCAAATCACTTCCTGACATCTCCAAAATTGAACTTTTTGCCAGAGCTCATTTCAAGAGGTGGCAAGAAAAAGTATTCGACTCCTTGGATATTTGAAATTTCTTCAACCCCTGCAATAAAATCAAGTTGTTCTCAACTCCAAAAGCAATTACATACCTTATTTAACCTTAATTGCACTAAAATAAAAAATAAAAAAATAAATACAATTACACTCTAAGGGGATACTTAAAATATTTATATACTTAGGGGGCTTGCAGTACTTTTTCCTTAACATATTTTTTCATCAAATGGTTGATAGGGAAGCAAGGTTTTAAAACTAGGCCCAGGGTGAAACCTGGCAAAGTGGTTGGGTCTCGGGTTTTTCGATTGAACCGTTTTGACCGACGAGTCAAACCAGTGACGTCAACATGTAAAAAAGTTTAAAATCCAATAAAAATACCCCTAAAAATTTCCATAAGTCCCTACATGTTTGAAATATTTAAAAAACACCCCTAATTACATTGCTGGCGTTGAAAATCCAGGCCAAATAGAGCTTGCTTTCGATATCAACAACACACCCCATCACCACAAAACTCTCCCCTCAACCTTCTGACCAAACCCATCTCATCCTACCCTCGTTCGCCTCGCCAATCGTCGGCAACAACCCGATTTATTTTTGCGATTTCCAATCGTTTCACTCTTCAAAAATCATCTCTATCGCCACATTTCCACTCACCGACCCTTCATCTTCAAAAGTCTCAATATCACAGCCTTTAATTGTGCATCGATCGTTGTTCTAATTTCTAAGGTTTTCGACGAATAGTAAAATAGATAACCCGCCCCAGTGAAGGTCCTAGGTCCTGGTTGAACCGGTCAGGCCAAGCCAGACCGTGTTTTAAAACCATGTAGGGTAGGTTTAAGAGAATTATTGAAATATGAGGAGAGGTAAGAGACGCTATTTTATACTTGTGGGTGTTACTAAACAAATGCAAACTTTAGAGGAGGTGAGGAATAGTAACCCTTATTATTTCGGTGCTATACCTACTCTTACGTGGAAGCTGCACCCGTATATAGTTGACCTGAAAAATGCTTCCCTAATTTAATCAGACTACTATTAGTACAATTCAACTCTAAAAAATTCTTATGGTGCAATGCATGTGCATTATGGACGAAAAAAAAAAATTCTTTAATACAATATTGAAACACAAATACGCCTTTTTCCAACCAAATTTCTCTATATTAATAAAGTATTTCTTATTGTCTGACTACTTGTGATTAAATTATAATTCTATCGTGAATAAAATAATAACTCCAACAACAATCTCATATATACTATTATATTCATATTCCTCCCCTGTACGTGAAAGCCTTGACATGAGAAATGAAGGAATAATCAACCCATCAATTTGATCGGCTCAACCTCAACGTGCTCTCAACAACTCCTAAGTTCTTTTTTAAACCCTAATAAACTTTTTATAAATCCTGCACCCAACACCCCCCCAGTATTAATTCTTCAAAAACAATCTCAATACATATATAATTCCAACCTCCAAAAATAATATAATTCACCATAACAAAATGGAAACCACTCACACATGCCGGCTCCGACCTACCACTCCAACACCGCCTTCGCCACGCCTACAGCGCAGCCGCAGCGGAGCTCCGGCCATTTCTCCACTTGAACAAAGCCGCACATGTAATAATAGTAGCCTAAACTCCCTGAACAGATCAAAATCAACCACAAGATCAAGAACCTCAACGTCCCAGCAGCAGAAAAACGAAGAGTATGTCCACCCTTCAACTATTCTAGCAAGCATGCAACAAAAGAAGACTAAAGAGAGTAACGACATGAACAAAGATGGTTTCGTTAGGTTTCTGCAACGAGGCATTCCACGTAATAATAACAGTGCTATTTGTTCTAGTGCAGCTAAGATTAAGAGTACTAAATCAGTCAAGAGTTCTCCGTCGGCGTGGGCGTTGTCGCCGGGACGGTCTTCGCCGTACTTGGTAGCACCGGAGTCGCCGAGACCGGCGCTGGCACCGGTGCCTGCCGAGACACGGAGGGCCAAGTCCAGTGCCGTTGGTGGTGTAAGTGGGGTTTTGAAGTATTTTAGACAGAAGAAGGTGTCACCAGTTCAAGAAGGAGAGTATAATAGATTTCGAGTTCTGCATAATACGTTGGTACTTTACAGGTTTGCCAATGCTAGAGCTGAGGTTTCCATGGCTTCTCTAAAGAATGTTTCAGAGGTAAAAGTTTATGACCTTTTTCTTTTTAATTAATCATTTTTAATAGTTCTAGTTTTAGAATTGTATCTCTTCTTATCTCTACAAAAACTCAAATTGCGTATCAAATGAATAATTTATGGTGAAGATTCCGGTACAATAATGTTATATTGACGTTAATTGCATGATTTTGGTTATGAATGTTGCAGGGTAGACTTTTTTCCGGGTGGGTTAGAGTGTTAAAAATGAGAAATTCCATCTTACAAAAGAGAATTCAAGTACAAAAACTTAAATACGAGATAAAATTATGTCAAATTCTGAATCCACAAATTCGACTTCTAAATGAATGGTCACAGTTGGATGGAAAAAATTGTGAAGCAGTGAGCCGGGTTACAAGAAAACTATCAGCATTGTCTGTCAAGGTCCCTTTTGAAGATGCGAAGGTATATTTCTATATATTTTCTTTTTTAATTGTTTCCCTTAAAACTTATGCCTACTACGTTAATTTCCAAGGGTCTTGGAACTATTGACCGAATAAAAACTTCAATTACCACCCATATTAGTGTTTAGGAGGATTCGAATTTACGAGCTCATGAAATCTCATTCTATTCTTTTACCATCAGACCACTTTAGTGGTGGTTAATCAACACATATTCTCACATTCCAATGTCTTATATTTTTTCTAGTATTAGAATTTAATTAAGGCTGGTAGTAATTGATAACAAATTGATATGTCTACAGGCAGACGTGGAGTCTGTATACGACGCAATGAACAAGGCCTTGGCAGTCATGGATGGCATAGAAGAAACTGTAAAAAGATTCCTTCCACAGGTTCAATTTTTTCTTTCTATATTAGCAAATTGATTGAAACAATTCCGGTTAGTGATCAGCTGGGTTGGTTTTAAATTGCATGGACCAATAGTAGGGTGATGAAGCCATGTAAAATTGATAGTGTTGAACATTTTTTGGTCAGGCTGAGAAAATGCTGTATATGCTGACGGAGCTTATAACCACAGCGGAAGGAGAAGAAGAGTATTTGAAAGAATTAGATACCATTTTCCCCTTGGTTCCATCTTTAATGGTGAGCATTTCAATACACTTCTTTCTTTTTTTTCCCCTTATTTTTAATATTTTTGCACATATGTTTCGACATTTTGAAACCCCTAAATAACATTAAAACACTAACAATTTGGATCAATCCTCAGCTAAATTTATAGTAAACACACTTGAGAATTAGAAAACACCCACAACTATAAGTTGAGCTAGTTTTTTGAGTCTTTTCGTTGTAGGAGTGGTAATTGCTTAGAAATATTGGGTTGTAGTTGACAAGGCTTACAACAGACTACCCAGGCCCACGCTAGTTTTTTCTTCATTTGTTGTGCCTGTATGCGATATTTGTTTCCACTTGCTCCATGCTTTTTATCTTTCCTTGCAACTCAAGAAGTTCAAGCGTATGGCCTTATTGCAGCCTCCAATCACAACAAGCCATCGCTTTATTCAAGTGTTCATAAATACTTTGTAAAAGATCATAACTTGCGGAGATGTGGCCTTGAAGAAGAACTGAACGATAACAGAAACTCATATAACCCCATCTAACTCATTTCAGAATGCACAACTCATACAGAATATTACCTTGATTTATCTTTGTCTATTCCAGAATGTAGAAACTCTCTGCTTTGTCTTGGCTCATTACTACACATGGATTCTCAACATCAATCTGTACACGATAAAATATAACACTTTAAAATCAGAAGTACGAAAATGTTGGTTGTAAGTTGAATCAAAAGCAAATATAGGGAATTTATATTTCCACACAGACAATGAGAAGAGAGAGAGAATCAGATGTGTCATTCAAAGTATGATGCTCTATTAGAAATAAATAATTGTAGTTGCATGCTCTCATGGAAGATTCCCTATAATCTAAAGGTAAACAATTTGAAAATATGAAAATTAAAGTCATCCACTTAGTACATCATTGATACATCAGCTGACTATGGTTCTTAGTGGAGTTTAGAATGTAAATGAAACCTTCCTGCAGATGGAAGCGTAAATATTAACTGACATGTCCACATGATCAACAGAATTTTATAATCTTTTTTTCAAACTTTCACAAGCCAACAGAAAAATCTAGATGATGGAAAGTTGATCCTTCCAAATACCACAAATTGAGAAGCAAGAAGTATCAACAAAGTAGAGGTTGAAGAAAGTGGAAGACATCTAAAAGTAAAAATGGTCTGTCATTATCAATATTTTCTTAAAACTCCAAGACTGTTTCTAAACAAAACTTCAGCTAAACATACACCTTAAAGTCCGCCTGCTGATCACGTCTATCTAATATTAATCCAATTTATTCTATATCAACGGGCCATCCAACTTAACTTCCCATGCAGGCACTCCCATTACAATATACAATCAAATATCATGTCCTCATAAAGACTCCCATGTGCCCGAAGCAAGAAAAAAAAACGCCAACTGACCAAGGAATCATATTCGTTGACTTCATTATCTAACAGAACTCACATATACGAACAAATTTGCCAAATGACAACAATGCAGAAAAAAAAAAAAAAAAAAAACAAATAAGCTTATCCAATACTCACATTAAAATGATCTACTAGTTCAGAAAGCTCTTGTCTGCGACTGGCCACTCGTTTCCCTGTCAAATATCTCAGACAGAAAACGTATCAATAAACACCCAACAACCTCACTCATTTCCTCCAGCACTAGAAAGAACCAACCACGGCTACTGAAAACAAACTTAATAAGATTAAAGCAACAAAGGTAAACTAACATAAAACAAGCATATGATTTAACCTGGTGATCCTTTAAAACAGTGGTGCCGCTAGATTCAGTATCCTGCGCTCTATAGTGATGGAAGGACATATTTCTGGCTTAAATGCATCGCCTCCTTGATTTTTAATTCAACTTAACCAAACATACTGATTAAAACAAACACATTTAACATTTTCCACCACATATAGCCATCGGTTTTACTATCAACTCTTCAAACCTCAACCAGTTTTGATAAATCCTTCAAATAAAGCCCTTTTGATCCCTTTTGCTCGGCATCCGAACGCAATACATAGAGCAGTTAATATACCCTTTTACCACCTGTAAACACAACAAGCAAACGACATGTCGTGTGTCCATTAACTAAAACAAATTTCTCTAAAATTCTATACCACCAACCAAAAAGCAACCAATCACTACTCGATAAACAATATAATATACATAGGAGAAGACAGTACTCCGTTTTGACCGGTGATGAAATTAACCCCTCGCCGAGCTCAATTTGGAGGCTACTGTGCACATGAAATTCCTAATCGTCCGGGTTATTATACCCGCTCCGGATTGCTGGGCTGTAAGATGATTCGGGGTAAACCCTCGAATCACTCATGGCTTGGTATCTCCAGAATTTTTTACTTCTTTTTTTTTTTTTTTTTCTTTCCTCGGAAGCCCTAGAATTTAGAAGGAAAATACAGAGAGTGCGAGAGTACGATTGCCTGGAATTGGGAGTGTTTATGGCGGGAGGGAGAAGTAGTGTGTATGTGTCAGTGTGCGTGTCAGTGAAGGTCGTACGTGGGGAGGCTTGCCTGACTTTATTAAGGGCCCGACATGGGCTATCAAGTTTCATAAGTGGGTTAGGACTAGGAAGGTTGATCTAAATGGCCCCCAATAAATGTCTTTTCAAGCCTCAACATAAAAATTTTTGCCTAATTTTGACAATAGTATCCTTACAAACATCATCCTCTTTGTTTACCTTTTCAACTTATTCTATTCTATTATCCAATCCAAAAAATAAAGTATTTCTTTTTAAATTATTCAAAATCAATTATATTTTATTTAAACTCAAAATATTTCAAATATTTTTCTAATAAGTTAAAAATTAACAAAAACATCCCCACCCACCCAGCAACGTCGCCCCCCACAACCACCTCCAGAACAACGTATGATCGACAAGATCTCTGTGTTATTCTAATCACTTTCGGCCACCGTCCGACGTGGTGGCTAGTGTCTTAATCAGTTGGGTGATGGTGGTATTTTGTTATTTATAAACTTTTATTATTTGGGGGGGTGGGGTAATTAGCTAAATTAACAAATATTGTAGTTAAAAAATTTTAAATATTTCAAAAAATTCCAAACACATTCTCTATTTTATCATATTTGATTAAATCTTATCCTATTTCTATTCAAAATTTAATATTATCAAAAAAAAAAAAAAAATTACCAAACGATATTTCCCAAAAGATGTTATACTAGAATTTTAAATTTCCCTCCATCAAGTCAATTAAAGCATCCACTAGCCTTACCACTTTAAAATTATCTTCTTCCATATGTTTTTGATGGATAAGAATTATGATCTTTTTTTACAAACTTCAAATGAACTAATATTCATCAAAATCTTTTTTTTTCTCTCACAACTCAACATTTGATCTCAGTATGTAATTTAACTCAAACTTCATTTAAATTTATTTTAAAATGTGGCTAATAAGATTTTATTACCTTTGTTTTTTTTTTTTTTTTTTTTAACTTTCACATCATTCACCTTTTTTAATAATTATCAATTTTTAATTCACCATTTCACTTCTTTTCATGTATTGATATCATATGAAGTTTATAATTGTTGTAAATTTTCTAAACAATATGAGAATCAAGTGAATGTGAAGGAAATTACAATGAAAACCCTTCGATTAGTTTTTTCAACAGTAACCCTTATCTACTTCTATTACGTTTTAGTCCTAATTATTATATTATATTTCTACAATTATTACATAATAAGTTATCGATCACATAGCTTGGGTACGTTCTACACTATTTTTTATTAAATGTTTAATTTATACATATTGTTTATTATAACTATCCTTATGAGTATGATCTATGTTTGCATATGTAAATTGGACCTTCCATATAAAAAAATAAGTTTAGTTTATAATAATTGATGCATGTATCTTTTGAATTATAATTTTAACCGTATCCCATTTACAACTTGAGTTTGCAAAATTACGGAATTTATGGACATGAATCCAAATGTCAAATAAAACGTGAAGTTTTAAAATCGAAATGATATTCGAACTAAAGTTTTTGTGAAATGTCAATATTTAAAGCTCAAAGTTGTGATACACGTTGAAGTCAAAATGGAATCAAATAATATGTTTCTTTAATTATGAAACATATTACGTTACCTTATTTAGAGATTTAGATATTATTACAATATTATATTGTTTCCCCCCGAGCCTATGAGCTATATTTAGGCGCCATGGCCACTTCCAGCCTCTGGAACTTCTTAAAACTTGTATAAAAATCTATCAATTTAGTCCTTTCAATTAATTTTTTTTTGCCCCTCAGTTTCAAAACTGAACACCTTGGCCCCAATAATGTAAACTTTTCTGGCCCCTCATCATTGACTATTTTTTGGCCCCCAATAAATTTCTTGACTCCTGCACTGGTCTCAAGCTTTAGTTTATTCTTAAAAAAAAATAAAAATCATAATATTTCAATTCATTTTTGTTTTACCATAAATATTCATTTGAGCTTCATAAAAATATATTAGTCTAACACACATTATCGTATTTTAATATTTTGTAAAACATATGAATAGTGTGGAGTCGAATCTTTTCGAGGTCCAAGTGCAAGTTCAACACCATGAATTTAGGAAGTTGGCCTTTAGGGGTGCTTGGTTTTTTTTTTTTTTTTTTTTTTTTAATTTTTTTTAGATTACTGAATAATGTCATCTTATTTACTAATTTCCATTTGGTTGTAAGTAATATAAGATTTGATAATTTTTTAAAATCATAGTAATTATTGTTGATAATATAGGTGATAATTAATTACTCCTCTATTTTCTTAGGTATTTTAAGAATTTTTGGTAATTTTAATTTTGTTACAATTTTACCCATTATTAATTAATTTTTTTTACAATAATACCCTTATTTTAGATTAATTCATGAACCTGCATTACATTTCCCTAATTTAATTAAGTTTTTGGACAACAATGTTCTTGTATTTAAACAAATTGCAGGTCACCAAGACCACCACCACCTGCTAGCAACCACCACCAGCCATCGTCGTCGACGTGACCGAAGACATGCTTGTGGTGTGGTGATTTTGTTAGAAATTAAACTTTATGTGGCTAAGTGTTTTAGTAAATCTTAAATGTATGGGATTAAAAGAAATGATTAAACATAATAATAAAAAAATATTATTTAATATTAAATGAGGCAATTTGTAATCTATTAACATATTCTACTAATTTATTCAATTAACCAAACAAATTTCCCTAAATTCCCAACATCTTCAA